GTCACCCAGCTGGCTTTGTGCCTAAGGTGGGACTAGAACTCAGAGTTTCCTGGTTTCTAGCCTGGTGCCTTAACCACTACACCAAACTGGCTCTAAAAATATGTATTGTAACATGCTTTTGCTTTTTATTTTCATTTTCTATCTCTTCCTTCCCTTAATTTTTGTATATTAAAACAACAAAATTATTTTTAAAAATCTTTGCTCAACCCAAACCCTAGTGACAACATTTGTTTACTTCACCCAGGCTTCTGGAAAGGAAGAGTAAGAAGAAGGACTTGCAATAATAGTGGTTTTATCATAAGTTAATTCTATAGGCTTGTTTCTTATTAAGAATGAAAATAAGTAATTCTGGAAAAATAATTTGGATCTTTTCTTGAAAAAAAATGGTAAGGTTTGGCTGAAGTTTTGAGCTTAAATTTTAAGATATCTCTAGAAGTTTTCAAGAAAACCATAATTGTTATATTATTTGTGAATTGCTCATTTTAGCTCTTATCTCAGACAAAGCTTCTAGTGGTTTTGTTTCACTCCTAACCCAGAATTTCCCATCTACCATATATTGATAACAATTTTGATCTGCAATCCATATTACTAGTCTACAATTCAAATGTTTTTTGCCATATCACAGCTACATTATTTAAGAAATAAATGTGTGAGATGGCAAAGAGATGACATAGTTTCTTCATATCTCAGCATCATTTCCAACTGAAAAAGGTGAGAGAAATATGAGAAAGAATCATATCACCCACTCTTGCACCAGACAGTATTCCTTCACAAATGGCCCAAAGTGGCACAATACAGGATCAGAATGCAATAGTTTCCACACTGCTTAAAAAGCATCTGAAGCAATCCTGAGAGATTACAGGTAGTCTTCACTTAACAACCACAATTGGGACCAGCAACTCCATCACTAAGGGATGCGGTTGTTAAGCAAGACATCATGTGACCATGACGGATTTACGATCTGACTTCTGCTGTGGTCATTAAGTGAGTCACCATGGGTTGTTAAGTGAGACATCACATGACCATGACTTGCAATTTCACTGCCGGCTTCTCCATTGACTCTGCTTGTTGGAAGTTGGCTGTGAAGAATGCAAATGGCAATCACATGACTGCAGATGCTGTGATGGTCATAAATACCCGCTGGTTGTGAAGTGCCTAAGTTTTGATCATGTGACCACATGGACACTGCAATGATTGTAAGTGCGAGGACTGGTCATAAAGTTACTTTTTCAGAGGTGTAACTTCGAACGGTTGCTAAACAGGGCAGTCATTAAGTGAGGACTACCTGTATATGATAAATAAGCCATGTTGCTTTCCTATGGGAATTGTAAATCCCACTATTTTTCCCCAAGTCTATCATTGTGCAGCTCCAAAAACCTAATTAATCAAGGGGCTGTGTTCAAGACCCGCCTACTTAATCTTCCAAGGAAAGATGGTGGGGTGGGGGGAGTGTACTCGGCTGAAAATGCAAGGCACTCCATTACAAAACCTGCTGCCAAGCTTCAAAAAGTGATCGACTACAGCACCCAAGCCATGTCCAGTACTGCCTGCTGAATAGTGAAGAAGCCACTGATGTAGTGAAGCCTTGCCAATACTCTCCTGAATACCAGGCAGTGGTCATAATCCCTGAATCCCTGATTCAGGTGATGTGATTATGGTATACACATTTCAGTGGTAAGAAGATATGACTAAGTTAGTGGCTGACTAGGTTAAGCAAGCTGAGTGAATGCAGTGAGTGAGCACTTGTCTAAACTATTAATTTTTTTCACACCAAGAATCTGTTGTACAATGGCAAATAATTATATTTTAAGGCTGCAATCCTAAAAATACTTACTAGTATGTACATCCTATTGAAGTTAGCATATATTATACTTGTTAACACAAATGCACTGCAAGTATAAACTAACTTTAAATTCAAATAACTCTTTCTTCTCTTATATCTTTAGTCATTCTACCAACCTATGTATTAAACTATATTCATGCATTTCTAAAACTTTGTGCAAATTATGCCTAAAATAAAGTATAATTTATTTTAGGCACCTTAACTATAATTTATTTGTTAACAGACATTAGCAAATATCTATAATTTTCAGCCACTTCACACAAAATATATTTTATTGTAATTAAGTTTAAATACAGTGCGACATTCCCATAAATTGTGGTGTAATGTTAACATTGGATTTTCAGTTTTATATGCAGGAAGTTACATGTACGTGACAAATGTTACAACTGAACAGGCCATGCACAAAGAAAACACATAGGCCAGAGCTAAATAAAAGCAAAATAATTGTCCTTACCACCTATGTAAAACATTAAGCACAAATGTTTTAGGTGAAGACAAGCCTGGTCGACATGAACTGAACATAAAGAAAAAAGATTTTAAAACAAAATAATGAAAAAGGCAATTGTAGCATTTTAAACAAAATAATTTTAAAGCCACAAAAAAATCAGTGATATTATTCATATTCCTTTTATTTTTAATTCATTCTTCCAAATTCACCCGAAGTGAAATATAAAATGTAAGCAATGTTGTCAGAACACCATGAGAGAAAAGGTCGCACTGCACCATTTAATTTCTAAACTAGCCTGCCTTAAAAATGGAAATGTTGCTTTGAGACTTATTGCTGTTTTTTCGGTCTCTTTTCAGTTTTTTATCTGGTAATCTGTTGTTCAAAGGTAGACTAAGTGCAGAAAATTTTGTAAGCACTTCTTAATTCAGTTTGCCCGACTGAAGCCTGAACTATTAACTTAGAACATAACTTGGAAGTAAGCACATGCCTTGCAAAATAAGTTCAAGATGCAATTATTAGCATCTCTGTTTAAAAGATTGCAAGCAGTAGCAAGGCTAGAAATGTATTTGTTTGAAACACTGCACCTTACATTGACCAGCTAAATATTCTAGGAGCAGAATTACTATTGAGATAAATCCCTGCCATTCAAAGTTGAGAAAGGAATTTTCCTCATAGAGGTAGATAGAAGCAATGTTACATTTTAAATCAGATAAACCTAAATCAGTAACATCTGCTTTGACTGGCGTCAGCTATCTAGGGCTTAGAGTAAAGGACTTTTCTAGCCTTACAATCCATAATGCTGTTACCTAAAGATGCAATGGATTAAAACATGGTCATCACACATGCAAAGCGCATCTAAGATATGCCTCCTCTCTACTACAAGTGCTAGTTTCCAAAAGTGGATATAGTTTTGTGCAGGCAGGGCTAAAAGCAGGGAAGGATATGGGCAAATTCATTCCCAACTCCCAAGATTCTCATTCCTCAAATCTATGACCTATCCACGCTGAGTAAAAAGCACAAAAGAGGTTTTTATTTGCTGTGATAATACTTACATACCCACATTCCCTATCACATTAGACCCTCCGGTGAACCTACAAAGTGTTTGCATAGGGCTTATGTACTTTTCTATTTGTGAATGGTCAGTTTTCATTCACATCTTATAAACATTGAATAATATTTTCCGAAAATAGGGCTATCAGGTCTGGACTATAAAAATCCACAAAGAGCTTTCTTTAGGTTTTTGCTACCATTTAATGGCTGCTTGGATTTTTGTAGCTCAGATCCGAGAGCACTACCAAAATTTTTTTACTAGCTAGAGTATACCTAATGAAATATAACCATGTTGCTTATTTGTGAGCCACAAAGAGCAAATGAAAAAAAAAAAAACAGAAGAGAAGTGAAAGCCTGCAATAAAAGAAAAATGAAATTATTTAAAATTTATTTTGGATTCAGATCAGTGAAAGAAAACGTGTACATTACAAGCAACACAATTCAACCTAAGAATAGTTTGAAGATACTGTGAAGATAAAACAAAACCTTTAAAAACTTACTTTGGAAACCAATTTAATCCAAGATGTTCTGTCTTAGAATACAATATACGTTCCAGCATTTCATAAAGTGGTCTCCAGGGCAATTCTAAATCATCCCTTGACAGAAGTTCTTTTTTTCTAAGTTAAAAAAATACACATACATACAGAAATTGAAGTTGAATCATTACTGACATCCCATTTCATAACCTTCAAAGGGTATGAACAAAAAAAACAAATTATGACATCAGCTCTTCTACACAGAAGATTTACATAGTTACACAGAGAATTAAACAGTTACACGGAGAAGCTTTCTTAGAATATTTTAGGTTGTCAGTAAGCTGACAACCTAAAATATTTTAAGAAAGCCTCTCTGAATAACTGTTTAAAATTGTAGATCCAGATCTAACTCTTACAATGGTGTCAGCTAAACCAGATTTTAATCAGAATTACCTGTTAATCAAACTTTCAAACAAGTTAATTACCATCTAGATTGTTGGATAACTAACAGGGAAAAAGAAGGATAAATGTAAAGCTAGAAAACCGCAACAGTCCATCTCCATCATTTCTGGTTGAGATATCATCAATGTTATATCAAAACTGGCACTTACATGTTCATTGATCTAGATTCTTGCTTAGCAAAACCCTTTTCTACACTTACTTCCTAAATCAGTGTAATTTTGGGAAACAGAAATACCATGTGGATATATATCTAAGGATTGTAAGTGTAAAAATTAGAGGTATACAGCAGTTGGTTTTAAATGCCTTTTGAAATTGCAAGGCTGTACAGCTATGACTAAGTCTCTAATCTTTTCCTAAATTTAGGAGAAAAGCAAGGATACTTACTGCTTTAGCCTGGCTAGGTTTTAGCTAGTTCTGATTGCCTTTGTAAGAACATCATGAGGTCAGAAACAAAATATCAACCAAACCTGACATTTGTTTTTGTCACTTAGTTAACGCTAATTATCCATATCTTCAGCCATGGATCATTACTGATATAGAAGAATGAAGTAAAGCAAAACTTACTTCAGCAAGTTTATTAAAAGTCGAGCAAAACCTTGCATCATGCTGATCTCCAATTTTGGAATAGTTACTAGTTCATACAACAGCTTGATGAAAAGAACATGATCTTCTTTACTAAACTTTCTCCCATAGAGCCGGAGATACCTGCAAGAAAGAAAATTTAAAATACTGTAGGTAAGATATTTATTTTTATTATTGTCCCCATGGTAGTGCATATAATGCAAAAAATAAAAAAGTTAATATAATCAAAATAAATAGCAAAGCAGAAAAAACAAACACTGGGAGTAATAAAATAATTCATAATGAATTCAGGTCAAGACAACATGCATACATATCTATATACAGACCTATTAGTGTATTCCCTTTGGGGTTATGCAATATGCAAACTACAGAAAAAGGATAAGAAATAGTAAGGCAAAAGAATTAAAAAGGAGAAAAGAGGAAAATATAGCTATATCTAGTTTATTTTGTCATTCATTATTCCTCTGAACATCGTACTATTCATGCTCCTGTCTGTGCTCTTGCACTCTGAAGATGCCGGTCACAGTTGCTGGCGAAACGTTAGGAACAAAACTTCAAGAACACGGCCACACAACCCGGAAGACCCACACCAGCTGCACACCACCACTACCCACACCAGCTGCACCCACACCACAGCTGCACCCACACCCAGGACACACCACCACCAGTATTAGTATTCTTGGTTTTGGTTTCCTGATCTGGACTACCTTGAAGAGCTAATAAAAACCATCTGGTGCACTAGTTATGCCCTTTCCTAGATTGGGGAGGCCTTCAGAGAGTTACTCAGGCCTTGGTCACCTCACAGCTTGATTACTGCAACATGTTCCACATGGGGCGTTCCTTGGTGACCACCCAGAAACTTTAACTGATCCAGAATTCAGTGGTGTGGGTAGTGATGGGCATGCCTTGGTATGCCCATGTAACATCTCTGCTTCATGAGCAATTAAACAATACCATCTATCAGCAGAATCAGTAACACCTATTAGGGGATATATATAAACTCTTACTTAGATATGATACAGAGACAGAACAAACAAAAAACTGTATGACAAAATGGATGCTAAATTTCAAAGAAACAATTGCAATACAACAATGGGAAAAAATATGGACTAAATCTATAAAATTCATACTATGTTATAACTTAAAGGAAAATTGGAACAAAATGTTTTACAGACGGCATAGAACTCCATCAATAATATCTAAGATGGACAAATCATACAGTAATAAATGTTGGAAATGCCATGAAACAGAAGGAACATTTTATCACATATGGTGGACATGTAAAAGAACTCAAAAGTACTGGAAAGACAAACATAGAATAATACATAAAATCTTGAAATTTAAATTTGAAATGAAACCACAATTGTTCTTATTAGGTATAATCTTAGAAAAAAATTGGCATCATAATTTAATCAAATATATGCTTACAGCAGCGAGAATAAACTTTGCTCAACACTGGAAGAAAGACAATCCTGACAATAACTGATTGGGAACTTAAACTTGGAGAATATGCAGCAATAGCAAAACTAACAATACATGCAATATACACAAAAGAAGTTCATTCTGTTGGGAAATGGTGTCTCTTCTAATACTTTCTCACACAGGAATCATACTTCCTTGTCTTGTAATAGTTCTTTCACTCTAGTTCCTTTCAGTTCTTTCCATTTCTTCCTTGTCCATTTTCTTCCCCAAATCCACTCCTGACACTACCAAAGCATGTTCCCCCCTAAATAAATAAATAACAACCAGAACCTCTTACATGATTTTTCATTCATTCTCTGTTATTATACATAATCATTCAGTCACATTTTTGATTAATTCCTTTTCCATTTGTACTCATGGATACACACACTTAAGTCATATACTTAAAATGAACAGACTTTTTCTAAGCAGATGATCACCATTCATTCATACTTGAGTCTCTCAATAGCCCAGTCATTTTCTGTACTTTCTTGTCTCACTCCTATTTATCCATGCATGTCACTTAATCAAAACCAAAACCAAACTCCCAAACCCTGCAATGCATTAATTCAGAATACTGCATAGTATTTCCAACAACTCATCCCTGGTTCTTTCAGTATCACCATTCAATAAATAATAACAGCCTACTATCACCAGCTTATGAACTCCTACTTCCATATGCAGCCACAGCAATCTTGATGACACCAAGTCATACATTCTATCATGTATTTAACTTCCCTGAATGTATTAATCAATCCCATTCCTCAAGATTAGGCTACCTTCATCCAGGTCTATTACATCTTTCCTCTTTCTTTAAGTTTCACAGGCACATGATACACCTATTTTTTTCTTTCATTTCATTCATTAATTCATTATTATTATCATATACTCCTCTTACATTCCAAATGCATTATTTCATGTGTCATCGTCATCACCAGAGGGACTCACAGATATTGAACCTCCACCATCCATTTTGGCTTTGTCAATGAAGGCTTTCACACACCACTCTTTAGTAAAATAGAAAGGTGTGGACTGGTTACCAGCTTTGGGAATACCCATGCCACAGGCAGTTCTCCTTGCTAATGGTAAGGATATAATACCAATCAGTTTCAGCACATTTTGGTCAGTATTCCCCAAACAAAACAGAAGCCTACATTTGCTCCAAGGATGGTCACACTATTCTATGCAACCTAAGATCTCCAGTTTAGAAACTACCTTGAAAACAAAATACTGTTGTCCACATCCTATCAATTGGGAGGTATATGGTAATGTATTGTTGTTGTTGTTGTTGAGTCATTAAGTCGTGTCCGACTCTTTGTGACCCCATGAACCATATCGTGCCAGGCCTTCCTGTCCTTCACTGCCTCCCTGAGTTTGCTCAGTTTCATGCTCATGCTCATTGCTTCAGTGGCTCATGCAATAGGACCAAGCAAATAAGATCTTCATCAAGTGACAGAAAGAAAGGACACCAAATGAACCTTTGAGGGTGCTACCACAGAAAAGGTGGCTTTTCCCCCAGTCATCTAAGGCAAAAGAGAACGTATTGAAAAATCCTAGATAATGAATAATGATTAAGCAGTTATTATATGCACTGAGCATTCTTGTCTAAAAAATTTAATTGAACTGTTATATTCACTGGAAATTAACTATTTCAAAACATGCGTTAACAGCTTAGAGCTTATCCTAAATATGTGAATTCATTTTGAAGGACATTTTTTAAAAGTCAGAAAATGGGAAACCAACTTTTTATTGTCAGCAAATTTGTAAAGCAGCAAATATTCTTGTACCACTTAGGTTTGCAAATCACAACTGTGATCCATGAGACAACAAAAGCTGGCTCTGCATTCATCTGCAATGTTTTCTAATATCAGAATATTTGTGTGTCTAATTAATATTTTATGGGGTTCTCATCAAAAAATCTTTGCCACCGTTTATATATTTTATTCATTAAAGCATGATTGGAATTAAACATACAACAGAGGAAGAAAATGAAATACAACTGACCCTTTTAGCATAAGAAACATGCTATTTCAACAAGCAAGTCTGATTAATGTGTTCATTTTTGTATATCTGTGGAGACAATTATGACCTCCACCAAAATATAGAGGGATTAGAAGCATTAATTCCAGAAATGATAATGGAACAGAACTGCTATTTGAAACATCCTTTTCTTTGTTTTTAATACTTGTTATTTGCAGTTCATATATGCTAGACCTGTTATTTGGCTCAGCTTTTACTTTCTTAGTATTTATGTGTTGATAAAATGCTCTTATATGCATGCTCTCCAGCAAATATTTTCCTTCAGGGATCATCATATTAAACAAGCAGTGAACCCTTATACGAGAGCGTTGAACAGGAAAGTCAGCATTCAAATATGCTGTCAAATTGCTGTTCCCGTCAGGCAGAATGATTTCTTGTTTTTCATTTTGTCACATCAAAAAGTGAATGGGAGGAGCAAGACTGAGTAGTTTCTAAATACAATTTCAACATTCATGAAGCATTGCACATCAGTTCCTATTCCTAGCTATGTTTGTTTTTAACTTAAGGGAATTCTTATTCCAACAAGAATTGTTAACCACCAAGGAGAATGTGTTGTGATACATTAAGTCTTTTTAAAAAATTATTTAGAAAGTAACTAAAAATAAAGATACCTTAAATGTATTTTTCTATTTAGACAGATTCTCTGCCCTTAAGTACTGCCAATTTAGCCTATGTGCGTGAGAATTAATAATCAAGAGATATCTAAAGTGATTTATAATATGCTTGAAGGAGGCAACAGTAAACTATTTCCGTATGTTGCCAAGAACACTACATGGATGTGTCCATATAGTAACCAGGACTTGAGCGTTTACCTCCCTTCCCAAGGAAGTCTTCACCTTTGTTATATACTACAGCAAGGGTTTTCTAATTGTTGGTTAAGAATCTATGAGGGTCATGAGCCAATTGGGGTCACAAAGCCAGATCAAAGTTAGCAGGGGGCTATGCAGGTTGCAGAGCTGGAGGCAAGCTGGCAGGGCCATTGTAAAGCCAGATTCAAGGTCAGCAGTAGGGCTTGGGAATAGGGTTAAAGGTTATCTCTGAGCGGAATAGATGATCTCATAGCAGGGAGATTCTGGAAGTGGCTGGTCCATGAGGGAAACAGGAGGTCATACAGGTTGCAGGGCCACAGGACAAGGGATCTAGGAATGTTGTAGAGCTGGGCTAAAGACAAGCAGCAACAGTGAGGCCTGGGTGTGATAGTAGGGTGGTATACGATCTGGATAGAGAATGGCTAAGCAGAAAGTCCACAGGACCTGGTCTTGCAGAAGTGCTGGAACTACCAGATGCCTTGCTGGCCTGTGGTTTCCTTTCAAGTTTTATAGCCCATCTGGGCGGGCTACTCTCTTCCAGCTTGGGAGAAACCTGGCAGTTGTAAGGAGAAGAAGCCTAACTGTGTGGCTGCTAGTTTGACCAGGCAAAGTGAGACTGAGTTCCTACAATGATCTGACTTTGGCCAGGGGACATCAGAAATTTTTTTCGGGGGTCGGGGGGGGTCAGGTGGGTCAGGTCACCAACTTCTCCTACTTACGTATAGGTTGCCAAGAACTGGGATTCCCTCCTCTAGTCTCTTTTTCTCCAAACCCAGCCATGCTTCCTGACTGCACACACTCTTTAAGCCAGGC